TTCCATGGCGATGGGGTCCTCGGTGGTCGAGGTTGCCAGCGCCGACGACCATGGAGAGCTCGAAGCGGAGACCTGTAGTTCCTTCTGCTGGTCCTCCTCGCTATCCGTGCCGAATAGCTCCCGGCATCTTTCTCGAAGTGGTAGCCGGGCTAAGTTGATAGCCTCGCCCTGAGGCTGTTTTGTCATAGGCTTCGGGTTGCCTTCGGAGATCCTCGCCGTGTATGAGGGTCTCTCCTTGTAGGAGGGTTAGCTACCCGTGTGCTCTGAGTTGATCTCTGGAGATCCTTCCTCAATCGAGGTCGAGAGCCGAGTCTGCTCTTCTTGCGATTTCATCCGCTATTTATACTCTGGTTCTTTCATGGTGTTTACTATCGGTGAGCTTTAAATTTCTTCGAAAATCGCGAGGCTCGCGATTCTCCGAATTCGATGCAGGTCCCGCGCTTCCGCGAATTCGTCGCGGGCTTGCGCTTACCGTTGCCCCTCTTCGGAAATCGCGCGGCTCGCGATTCTCCGAATTCGGTGCAGGTCCCGCGCTTCCGCGAATTCATCGCGGGCTCGCGCTTATCGCTGCCCCGCCGCGTTTCTCAGAAACGCGTCGCGAGCCTCGCGGTCCCTGGAAGGACGGTGCGTAAGGTGCGCTCCGAAAACGTCCTTTTAAATAGGAGCGATGCACCTTGCGTGGAGTCTCGCTCTCTGAGACGCCACAATATGTATGATGGTTACAGAAAAATAAATAGAAAATTCAAGCTACACAAAAGTGACAGTCGACGACGTCGAAATATACGGGCGCTTTCACACCTTATTTAACGTACCTGTATTAATCGCATAAACAGCTAATTGCAACGAAATCAAGTGTGGAGAAGTTAATGCTTTTTGAATGATATCAATATTTTTTGTACTTTTATCGAGAAATAAGCGATAAATTATAGGGGCATGTAAGAGCCAGCCAGATAGCACAGAGAATTCAAAAAGAATTCAGTAGTATGTTAACAATTCTAAGTTCATTTTTACATGCGAAAAGAATTCTTTTTATTAAACTGAACTTTGAAGAACTTTTTTTGCATCTGAAAATGAACTCAGAATTAGTGACATATGACTGAATTCTTTTTGAATTCTCTGTGTTATCTGGGCTGACTGCAACGTCGAGATGTACACACGATTCCATACTTTATTTAACACCGGTATTAATTGTATCATTATAAACCTTTAATTCCAATAGAATAAGCTGTCGAAAAGTCAGTGCTTTTTGAATGACATTAATCTGTTGTTGTTGCCGAGAAATAAACAATAATTGCTAGCGGCATTAAAGAGCTTGTTGGGACGTTGGGATGTACACGCACTTCCACGTCTTACTTAACTCACTGACGTAAATTGTATTATTATAAAAAACGTTAATTTCAATATAGAGGTTTATAATTGTACAATTAATACTAGTGCGTTAAGTAAAGCGTGAAAACGATCGTATGTCTTGACTTCGCAGGCAGGCTTTTACATGCCGCTAGCATTTATTGCTTATTTGTCGGCAACTATAAAAGATGTCGATGTCATTAAAAAAGAACTAATATTTCCATATTTTATTGTATTGGAATTAGCGATTTATAATAGTATGATTTATAATAGTACGAATAATACCATTACTTTAGGTAAAACATGAGAGCGCGCATACGTCTCGATGTAGATCAGGCTCTTATAAGCCACTAGCATTTATTGCTTATTTTTCGGCAACTACAAAAGAGATATCGATATGATTAAAAAAATACTAATTTTCCCAAAGTTCATTCTATTGGAATTAGAGATTTTTAAATGTAATATTAATACAGATGCGTTAAGTAAAGCATAGAAGAAAAACGCTTAGAAGAGTCAGTGTTTTTTGAATGAAATCAATATCTTTTAATTTTTAATTTCTAATTATAAATCTCTAATTCCAATACAATAAACTGTAGAAAAGTCAGTGCTTTTTGAGTGGCATCAATATCTTTTTTGTAGTTACTGAGAAATAAACAATAAATGCTAGCGGTATGTAAGAGCCTGCCTGTGATGTTGAGACGTACGCGCGCTCCCACGCTTTACCTAAAGCAGTGGTATTATTCGTACTATTATAAAACATTAATTCCAATAGAATAAACTGTTGAAAAGTCAGTGCTTTTTGCATGACATCAATATCTTTTGTAGTTGCCGAGAAATAAGCAATAAATGTTAGCGGCATATAAAAGCCTGCATATAATGCTCAAATTAAGATTATTTCCTTCTCTTCTATCTAACTCAGTGTTCCCATGCAAAATATTCTTCAGTTACAATGGCCACAAAACATAAACCTGAACATTTTTTCGGAATTACGAGTAATGCAATGCGTCAATAGCTGAGCGAGATGTTTTTTTAACGATAAGATCGCCGCTAACTCGCCTCTGTGTTTACCGCTGCGATTGTATCTCGTCTGTGGTAAGACAAGAACAGATATTGTTGATTATTTGTCTTTATCTAACTAACGTCAAGAATCGTGGACAATACTTCTTTATCCACTGAAACAATTCGTGCACATTGGCTGCGTAGTTTATGTGCACAGTTGGTTAGAGGCGCTATAACCATTCAGCTGAAATCGGGATCAGCTAAAACCGGCCCATGAAAAACCTCTCTCCTTCTTGTAATACTCTGGCGTCTGACTTGGAGCTTGACTTTCACAGGATACAGTATTGCTGAAATTCCCACAGCCAATCAGTTTTCAATAAACAGAAACGGAAAGTGTCCTACTAGGGAACGTCCCAGTTAACTATAATACGTTTGGACACAACCAACCGATGCAAAGAATTATTTAGTGAATTATCAGGTCGAACCAATCATTACAATTTGTATCCAACCGTACCGTGGTTAATCGAGTCTCATCGAGTCTCTACTATATGCTGCCTCTCACTCTACATCTGTTCCTACCCTCACTACCTCATTTAGCAGTCCTTTCTATATGTCGATGATTTACACCTTTGACTATATAAGTATGAACTGCCAGTTATCCCCACTTTTCCTATTCTTACAATGCTTCGCTATGTAATCAACATCACGCATGCCCCCAAGGGGCAGGATAAATGTCAAAAAATCGAAACATGAAGTCAGATTTCGATAGTAAAAGAAAGGAAGAGAGAGATGGAATATATCATACGTCGCGCTTTTTTATCACGTCTGCAAGTGCAGAACCACTTGCAGTATAAATAAAATATCTATATATAAACTTAACACACAATAATGAAATAAAGACAACAATAAGTGTATAAATAAATAAATATATATATGTATTATTGCGTATACATAGCATATAAAATGTATTATTAAATATATATAAATATTGTATAATTAATAGATTCAATAATACATATATATGTATTATTGAATTTAATTATGCAATATTTGTGTAATTATAATTATATAATATTATTATCCGCTAAAAATTACGACTTTTGTTAATTTGTGTCTAAAAAAATCTGTTTGTTTAGACATTGTAATGCATTTCATAAAATAATTTTACTTGAAAATAAAATGTTATTATTAATTTAATTAATATATATTTGTGGTTCTCTAATATGTCCAGTTCTTTGACATGTATGTAAAAATTAACGAATATCAAGCATTGAATTTGTAAAGGTATAGGTTTGCTATTATACGTGAGTTCACAATATGTCATCGAAATACTGAGATTCGCTACTTATCCCTTGGAGGCGCTCTTCATGTTGATTACAGCGTGAGAATGCTAACTGGCAGTCATACTTATATAGTCAAAGGTTTACACCGAAAGGTTATCACCGGTGTGAGAGGACACTTCTCTCACTTCCGGGTAACTGCTCTTAACCACTGAGCTATTCAGACTCCTGCTCTCGATATATCTCCCGCCTGTACACTTCATTCGCCTATAACAGTAGACGAAGAGAATCCACGTCGCGGACTCCAGAGCGATGTGTGGAATCGTCATATCAAATGATGAACAGTGTCTTTTAAATACTCCCCTATCAGTGAACGATACATTACGATAGAAAATAATTAGATTCTCCGTAGATTCCATCGGTTTTTATCGCTTTCTCTCTTTTGACCTTTTTTTATCACTTATAACCGTACTATAATAATCATAATTTATTATAATTTCAATTTAAACTATTTTTGTTATCTCATGTAACCTCATAATTGTAATCACGAATGTGTAGTGGTCATTGCACGAGCTTCAATGCGATACGACAAAACAGAAGTAATATGAACACAGGCAGCGGCACATTGTTCTTCCATTTGCCTTGCGCCGGTATCCGCACGCTATATCTCTGGACAGTGCTATGGCTCGAGCGCTCTCATTTTAGCGCACGCTTTTCCTTAATCTTTCATAATTAATTTCTCGACTATTATTATGAATATTGCAAAACTTTAGAACTTTCATGTTTATCTCATTCCGTTCGATATTCCCACCAATTACAGAAGAGAATCTGAGAAACTAAGGGTGTAAACCCATGCAGTGGAATAGCGGAGCGCGGAACGAGAGCGGAACCAATTACGAGCGTTCCACAGTTTTCGCTCGTGATTGCTTCCGCTCATGATTGGTTACGCTCTCGTTCCATGCTCCGCTATTCCGCTGCATGGGTTTGCACCCTCAGTATATGATGATATTAATACTTTTGTTATTAATATATAATTCAGCCGTTTATATTTCAAAGTATTAACATTAGGCAGACTACATCATCAGTAATTAAAATATTTAATATAAAGAATTAAAATAAATTATAATTACGATAAATAATGGTTTTCATTCAGAATAAAAGAACATATGCATGCGTGTACGTGTGCACGCATACATACACACACACACATACAGAGTTTCATTTATTCAAATAGTTCATAATTGAAAGAAATTGTAATAGTCTATTATGTACATATTCTGAAATATTTAAAATTACTCATAAAATTTTATATATTTATAGATATTATTTCCCTCCATCATTTATACAATTAAATATAATATATTAATTTTTAAGCCTGCTGTGTCGTCTAGAGTAATAGCTACTCCTCGAGAAATTCCCTCGCGTCAAGAAGTTATCAGACGAGAAAGGACAGATGAGCGTAGTCGACAAAGAAATAAACGAATGTTTGGTGCACTTTTGGGTACTTTACAAAAGTTTAGGCAAGAAGAAACTAAACTTAAAGCAAAAGTAAGATATATTCAAATATGTTTAGTATAATTTGACTTTTCATATTTTACAATATTTTTTATTTATAGGAAGACAAAAAGGCAGAAGTAGAAGCCAGAGTAGAAGAAGCTAAGAGAAGAGAAAAAGAAGAGTTACGAAGAGAAAGACAACAGTTATTTTTATCACGAAAACGACAATTAGCAGAAGTACGAGCGTTAGAAGCAAAACTTGCACGAAGTCGACAGTTTCAAGACTGGCGCAATGCACAATCATTTCTTGCCTCGTTTATAAAAACACGCGCACAACCTTCCATTTATTATATACCGAAACGCAAGCATCCACAGACAGATTTGCTATTAGCACAATCCACAAAAGAACTTCATGGTTAGTATTTCCATAACTATTATTTTAAAATTTTATTATTTGTTTACATATTTGTGCAATCTTCTGCTTTTCATTCCAGAGGAAATTGATAAAAGAGAAAAGGCATTGATTGAAGAACTAAATTTAATAGAGGTTCAAGTAGGATTAGGCAAACATTCACAAAATTTCGATGGATCTGCATCTTTAAACACTATAGTACCTCCGCGCTCGTTAGAAGATGGTGAAGAAAATCGAGATCCTAATCCGGAACATAGTATTGAAGCTACGATCGATAATAATGCCGCTGTTTCAACTATACAATCTATAATAAGCGAAAATTTTGATGAAGATCATGATATAGAGAAAAAAGATGAAGTACAACTCGACCAAGTTCAACAAGATGAAAACAATGGCTAATATCTATTATAATAAAAAGAGTTGTACATATACTGTGCACATTGGATGGTCCAATATAAAGTAATAATTTTCGTAGTGAATTCTTCGAAAATATTGTTTTGATTAATAATAAAAAGTAGCATTCAAAGATAAAAAAAACGTATCTTAAATTGTAATTTTATTGTCACATAAATCCATAGTATAATCTTACAAAAAAGGAGCCTATTTTTTATATAAAAAATTATTATAAATATCCTCATTCCTCTATTATTATCGTCTATATAGACGAAATGCAATTTTTATATACTTCCTATTAACTGTATTTATCTTTCTAGAAAAATGTTGCTACAGCAGTTATATTTATTAGTAAATAGTTAATACAGTTAAGGGGATGCTGAAGTCGATGACGAACTCGAACAACGTCGATGATGCAGAGACGATCGTCACTAACATAATCACGCTATCCTTTTCGTATTTCTTGTATATACAGAATTTATATGAATGTGTGTTGTTTTGTTTTACCATATATGATGGAAAACGTAACCATATATGTGTAGAAATCTTTCTGCAAACTTTTTCGATATTTTTAAGCTTACAAATGCAGATGCGAAGGCAATCTTCTTCAAAATTTTTCTGTTTGAAGCACCTACACTTTCCGTATGTACAAGCTGCGGAATTTTTGGATTAAACATATATAAGGTGTAGTAAAAAGAAATCCATTATTTTTCCAATAGATGGCTTTAGTAATGTGTATCTCGCGTTGTATAAGTGCGATCGGTTTACGCTAGATGGCGTTAGAAAGATAAGATTTCGTACTAAAAAAACTTCTCAGACAATTTTGTGATTGTATGACTCAGTATTGTTTGAGCGCGCATCAAAGATGGACACCAGCAAAGAGAAAATACGCCATGTTTTTACAGTTTTTCTTCGATAAAGGCAAAACGCAAGCCAGGCGGCTGAAAATGTGAATAGTGTTTATGGTCCTAATACTGTAACAGCCAATCACGCACAATTTTGGTTTCGTCGATTCCGTTCCGGTAATTTTGATGTCAAAGATGCACCACGCTCTGGAAGGCCAATTGTCGAAAATGTCGATAAAATAATGGAAATCGTCGAGTCCGACCGTCATGTAAGCACTCTTTCGATTGCCCAGGAGCTAAACATTGCACAAAAAAACCGTTTGGAACCACTTGAATAAGGCTGGATACAAAAAGAAGCTCGATGTATGGGTGCCACACGAGTTAACGCAGAAAAATCTCATGGACCGAATTTCTATCTGCGAATCGCTGCTGAATCGCAACAAAATCGACCCATTTCTGCAGCGGATGGCGACTGGTGATGAAAAGTGGGTCACTTACGACAACGTCAAGCGAAAACGGTCGTGGTCGAAACGCGGTGAGCCGGTGCAAACGGTGGCCAAGTCAGGATTGACGGTCAGGAAGGCTTTGCTGTGTGTTTGGTGGGATTGGCAGGGAATCATTCACTATGAGCTGCTTCCCTACGGCCAAACTCTTAATTCGGACCTGTACTGTCAACAATTGGACCGTCTGAAGGAATCAATCGCCCAGAAGCGGTCAGCTTTGGCCAATAAGAGAGGAATTGTGTTCCATCAGGACAACGCCAGGCCACACGCATCGATAGTGACTCGCCAGAAGCTCCGGGAGCTTGGTTGGGAGGTTCTTATGCATCCACCTTTTAGTCCGGACCTGGCACCAAGTGATTACCACCTGTTCCTGTCTATGGCGAATGATTTTGCTGGTGAAAAATTCGCCTCAAGAGAAGCTTGTGAAGATTGACTGTCTCATTTTTTTGCCAATAGGGACAAGGGTTTCTATGAGAGAGGCATAATGGAATTACCTTCAAAATGGCAACATGTTATCGAAGAAAACGGTGCATATTTGACCTAAATCGGATCATTCTAACTATGCTAAATATAGCCTTCAATTTCATGCAAAAATAATAGATTTCTTTTTACACCTTATATTAGGACCTTAACTTAGTTTCCGCCCGCAAATGTTAGATGGCAATGCAAACAGTTCTAGTAGTCATTACTAACGAAACAGGTAGTTTGTGATTAATTTCGACATTTCTCGATAACATTCAGTCAGCATACACAATTATTTTCCTAAACAACAATTTCTTTTGCTTTGTGAAAAATGGAACGCGATAAAGTGTTTTTTCGACATGTGCTTTTGCACTATTTTGATTTGAAAAAAA